AACATTTTAAGAGACAGACCTGCATGAAGCACTTTAAATTTAATGTTTCCTTAAGTGTTACTTGAATAATATTAAACTACAGCTATTGTTTTATGTTGTGTATCCACTTGTTATATTTGTATGTCTGTAACATTGTCTGTTGTGTATTAGATTGTCCCAAATTCAATGCATTTGTAAGTGCTCTTTGAGTCTGTGTGTCTCCCAATCTGTCTAATCATTGTTCTCACCAAATCTTTTCCCTAGAAATTTAAAGAGGCAAGTATAACTGTATCAGAATCTCTTTACCTGTGTGTCCACTCTGTGCTGTTTGGGCTGCGTTTTTATAAAACATTTATGCTACAGACACAAACAAAATTTAAATTATTCTTTTTTTCCTGAGCAACCCCAAACTAAAATAAATTCCACAATGTGTGAGTTACGTATCATCAAATTTACAATCTGGTCAGCTGACATGAACTACAGCTAAGGAAAAACAATGACTCACTGTGAGGGATGTAAACCTCCACATTGATTCATATTGTCAACAGAATTGACATGCTGGCTGGAACTGTAAACGATTATTATTTTGCGACCAGTGGTTTGTCCAGACTTCTCAGTTTATTCTGGTACACTTTGTTCATTAATGTTTAATTAATGAATTAATTATATTTGATTACTTTAACTGCTTTTCACAGATGTTATGTACCATTCCAGAGTACAAGTGTGCTTTCTTCAAAATATAAATAAAAATTGAAAAAGTAATTTCTTAGACAACAAAATACCAAATTAACAGGTCACAGCTTAGCTTTGAGGTATAATCTGGTAGAGGATAGTGCCTCTGATTTAAGTGCCTTTCTCTGTAGATTGCTTTCTGAGCTGCAGTGGTGTGTGTTCGTTTGTGTGTTTGTGTATAAATTACTAAGTCATTTTTACAAAGCCTTTCATACTCATTTTATTTAGAAGGCCAATTCTTGCCTTATTTGAACCATTAAATCCCTACGGCAAGGCTCATAAGATGAACAACTGTGAGCCAAATACCATACTTAAATGCCTATTTGTGCTTCACAGTTCTGCTCATATTTTTAATGTCTGATATGAGTTACAGATACAAAATTACTAGATATAACAGTCTAGCTGTGCCACTTTGTGTCACAAACATCAACTTTGCAGTCTAGTAATTTAGTATCTGTGGCACCAGCATTGAGTGTGAATCCTTATATATGGAGGTTTGGTCTATTTCCTGCCCTTTGACCTATCTGCATGTCCGCCCTACTCCTCTGTGTGCTGTTGAATGCCAGTCGAGCCACCCTCCGCCCTAATATTCATCTTATGTCATCCCACCACGCTTACCCCCATGCACAGTTTTTTCTTGGACCCAAAGAACTTTTGGTCAGTCCCGCACTACCGTCTGTGTTCACTATGTTGACTTTGCTGCCATCGCTCACATCGCTCTCATTTTGGTCAGAATGCCTCTGGAGCTCAGAGCTGCTCGCATGTCTTATCAGGCAGAGAATAACTACTCACTGATACACAGTCTGCCAGTAATTCCATGCAGAATAATTAGCTGTGACTTTAGCTGCTGGTTAAAAACACAACTACCCACTCACACGACAGTATCTGGTGTTCACAATAAAGAATTCTCCCTGGCCAAGGGTGTGCTTGGTGTCCGAGCAGGTTAAGATTTGCAGAAAATCCTCTGGTGAGGGAATGACTAGACTATTGCACACGTTGGTCCCTGTGTCTGACCAGCTCCTGTCCACAGATCCCTCTGTAGAGGGTTCCTACAGACCTGGTAAAGCAACCTACAGTGATAGGTCGTTGCGGTCTCTCTGTTTTAATGGGAATGCTTGTCTGTGCTCTGTTCTGTTTTCTGCCATTAGCTGGTTTAGCTCAGTGAGGAGCTCGAGTGTAGGGAGCAGGTGTGTACACCTCAGGTGTGTAGATCTCAGTCAGGTGCATGGCCCTGCCTTCAGCTCTGTCAGCACACAGCTTCTCTTTCCTTTATTATTTCTCCCAACTTTACCTTTTTAATTCACTCTTCCCATCTTGCTTTACTTTTCCTTTGCTTCTAAGCCTTTCTTCTAGTCTAAGCGGACCTGTCCTATGACTGCATGCATTGCTGTGATGCGATAAAAAGCCGAAAGCTCTCCCTGTTGCCAATTGTCTTGCCTGAAGTGTTTGACGTGCTGGACGCATATCCCATCAATGCTATGGCCAGTTTGCCAAAGGATCTGTCTGAACCTGAATGGAACCCATTCATGTTTTACTTTGTATTCATTCCCGTTCCATCCCATAGGGGAGTGAGACAGGCAGCTGAATTAGGCTGGAGTCTCCATACCTCCTGCTCGGTGATTGGTAGACCCTTAGGGTCTACCAGCCATTTCTGGCTTTGTGTTTTACTGCATTCTTATGTCTGCTTACAGTTTGTCAGTCTTTGTCATGCCCAGTGTTCTGCGGCTCTTCACATGTACTATGATTAGAGCAGCCCTTATTATTCAAAGTGCGGTAAATATTACCACCACACAACACAATGGTCACTGAGGAGTTTGGCAAGGAGGTGTCACCATCCTGTGGTTCTCTTGCCATCTCAGAGATTTCTGAATTATGCTGCGGGTATTCAGTTCCTGATGGCAGAAGAAGACAATCAATCTGCATTCTCACTGTATATTCAGTAGATACTGTACATTTAGGCCTAATGTTCAGATGATATTGTGCTTGGTCCCGAAGAAGAAATATAGAGATTGACAGCTGTAAAAATTTGACAGAGATGGACAGTCAATTTAAATGTTATATAGACATATATACGCCACTACAGAAAACATGATGTACACTGAAAGGGTACATAAAGAAGCCTTGCAGATTGAGGGGTGTCCTTTGCCGTCTTACGTCCTGTCTTTAACTTTGAAGAGATGTTGTGACAATGTTTTGTTTTATGACAGATGTCTAGTCATTAATGTCACAGAAACCCACCACAGAGTTGTTGTGTTTACACATATGTCTGGACACTAACGCTAAGAAATGCGTTACTATTGTTTTGTAAACGATTAAGGATTTCCAGTTATAGTCACTAGAGATGCTAGAGGTTGTGTTCGAGGAATTAATACAGCTCTTTAATTTTAAAGCCCACAGAGGCTCCCCAGGTGAACGATGCTGGGGTAAGATGCACCGCCCCCTAGTGGGCTCCAGCCCTGCTTCGACTTTGCTTTCTTTTTTCATTTGTTAATTACTTTACTCTCTGGAATCTGTTCCCTAAAATCTTCACTCATTTTTCATTTGGTTTGTTTAGGTTGTTCTTTTTTTCCTTTGTATTTCTGTTTGATCTTTACTTTCCATGTTTGGGGTTCAGTTGTGTTTTGGGGGTCTGAAGCAGAGTGTCCCGCACAGCGTTGTCACTCCGTCCCGTCGGTCAGCAGCGTGGAGAACTCCACCTGCTGGCTGCATGATCCTGGAGCCGCATGTGTTGCTCCGGACAGAGGAAGCAATGCTGAGGCCGGGCTATGGCGCGCCATATGCCCAGGGGCCAAACATGCTTTCCTTCCCCTCTGCCCCCCACTGTATGAGCACGACGTCTGGCAGTGTTTTCAGCTACTGGATGAAAAGCCAGTATTTTACATTTACATCTATTTATCTATCAGATGTGTAGTTCAGAAAGCAGGCAAGCAAAGCCCAACAGTGAAATCACTCAGCATAATATAAGAAATACCCTTTGGTTTGGTCTACTGGAGATGGCAGGAGTAATATGACTCTAGGTCAGTGCCTCCTGCTGTCTTCTATGCACTGCCAACGTTCTGCGCATGCACTCAGGTGACTGCCTCTTGTCTGTGTACTAATGCAGTCGTCTTGTTCACAGAATCCAGAGGAAGGTGGCGCTTTTTCAATCTCCTTTTTCCGTCTCTTCCGGGTTATGAGACTGGTCAAGTTGCTAAACAGGGGTGAAGGCATTCGAACCCTTCTGTGGACCTTCATCAAGTCATTTCAGGTGAAACACAGCCCTACCATTGACATTACAGGAAGCATTCTGGGTGTGACTCTGTCTCTAGATTTATTAAACTCCATATATACAGTAGGATGCAAACTTGTTTCGTTATGGCTTCTGGACTGTGAGTCCATGTATAGCCCCAGTTTGCATTGTTGCTAACTTAGTTTGCAAACTTATGTGTCTCCATCTCGCAGGCTCTGCCATGGGTTGCGCTCCTGATCGTGATGGTTTTCTTCATCTATGCTGTAATTGGAATGCAGGTACATTCTGCTTTCAGTACCAAAATATAGAATAGACAGGCCAAAGTTGGAGCTTGAAAGTGTTTCAGTGATACTGTGTGTTCTCCAGATGTTTGGGAAGATCGCCATGGTGGACAACACAAGCATCAACCGCAACAACAACTTTCAAACTTTCCCCCAGGCCGTACTACTGCTCTTCAGGTCGGTGGCTTTCAGATCCATCTGAATCAGGCACACCGTTTGCCCTCTGGAGATGTCCGATTTCAATCACATTCAGTTATCATTTTGGCAGCATATTTTTATTTAGTTTTAGCCTTAGTCTTTTGATGAAAATGCAATTAAGTTTTAGTCATACTTTAATCATCTAATTTATTTTAGTTTTAGTGTAGATTTAGTTGACAAAAATTACAGGATATTTAAATCGACTTCAGTCGCTTCAGCTTTAGTCAACTAAATCCACACTACAGTACATGCAGTCAGTGAAACAGGTTCAGCTGTAGTCTGATACATAGTTTTCACATTTATGTGAAAATTTCACTTAATTTTCTGTGTACATGTACATAATCACAAACATAGATTTGTTTGCCTTATATAGAATAGACATATAGAATAGACAGATTCCTGCAGGAAACATCTGTAAAGCTGTTGGCATGGCAATTGATTTGAACATGTGATCTTGAACATAGATTCTGTTGTAAAGGCTGTAATACGAAACATTACACGAGGCTAATTCAAAAATGGTTTTGTAGTGACTTTATTTATCATTAAATAAAATTTAAATAAAACCAAAATTTAGACAGTAACGAAATACTTGCATATGACATCTGCAATTATAAAAGAATACCAGTGAATAGAAATTAAATAAAGAAAATGTGTCCTCTCTCAACAACATAAACAAAACTCAGACTATTAAAAACCAACTGGATTGTGTTTATTTTCCTTTTGCTACCACTCCATACAACTTGCACTGAGAATTGTTTTCTTTTGCATCCAATGTAAAAATTGCACATATATCAGTATGTTGTTTCACACAGCAGTATATGCTACTTTATTAACTAGTATTAACAATTTGAAAACCATTTCCTAATCTAATTTAAGCAGTATATGTTACCCCCACGATAAAAGCTGCCCAAGCCCAGCACAGATATAACAAGTATACAGACAGACTTTAGAGACATAGTTGCATGGATTAAAAGCTTGAAGCCGGTTAGCTCAACATTATCCAATCATGTGCAACTACAATCGATGCTAGCTAAAGATACTACATCTAATTTGGTTACCAAATTGCCCGTAGGTGTACCTGTGTGAGTGAATGATGTGTGTGTGCCCTGCGATGGCTTCCTGCCCAATTCTCTATTGTTCCCTGTTTTGCACCTGCAGTCTCCAGACCCTCCGCGACCCTGAATAGGACAAGCAGTTACAGAAAATGGGGGGATGGTTTACATGTCATTTTTGTCAATTAAAAATCTATCTTCATTGACAAATCATTTTCGTCAGTTTTTATCAATGAAATTAACACTGGTCACGTCAAAGGATGAATTGACAACAATTGAGTTTGTTAGTGTTGATACTGAACCTGGGCTCCCCTGATCTGCCTCCTTGTGTCTCAGGTGTGCCACAGGTGAGGCATGGCAGAATATCATGCTGGCCTGCTTGCCCGGGAGGCTGTGTGATCCAGAATCGGACATCAATCCAGGGGAGGAGAGGTCGTGCGGGAGCAACGTTGCCATAGTCTACTTCATCACCTTCTACATGCTTTGTGCCTTCGTGGTATGACCCTACCCACAAACACATAGAAAACTACAAATATATATATATCACACACACACATTCCCATGCACAAATGTTAACATCATCATTAAGACTTGTTTTTTTTTATTTAAGATTATAAATTTATTTGTGGCCGTCATCATGGACAACTTTGACTACTTGACCCGTGATTGGTCCATTCTTGGCCCTCACCACTTGGATGAATTTAAGAGGATATGGTCCGAGTACGACCCAGAGGCCATGTAAGTGTGAGCAGGCTCAGAGGCTTGGCATTACACAAGAGAAGATAAGAGATAAGGAGTGACTAACATCCAGTGCAACAATGCGACTGCAACCCTTCATTACTTTATAAACTAACTTTTGAAAGCCATTTCCTAATCTAAATCTTTTAGTTTTAATTGCATCTATGTACATCGTAGTTAATCTCTCTTTCAAGTCTTCCTAAATCCTTATATTTTTAATGTTCCCTTTAGTTAATCTTTTTCTTTTCATTTTGACACTGTCAGAACACAATTTTGTATTAAAAAGCTTTTGTACCCTAAATAGAAACAGAATTTTGGGGCAGCATGTCGCCGCTTCGTGCCTGACCTCACCAGGATAGTCACATGTCTGTGCACCCTTAAGCAAAGCCCTTAACCCCCAACTGTATGAGTGCTGCTGCAGGTGGCTGCCCTTCACTGCCAAGATTTCTCTCACCTACATATATATCTGGGTGTCATGGAGAGCAAGATGGGGAAGCTGATAAGAGAATTTTGATAAAGTGTCATTATTAAATTTTCTCTGAGTATCAGTGCCATCAATCATACAGGACTTTTCTGCAGCTAACTATGAGCTCACTGCATAGACTGGATAGCATGGTTTATCCCAGACTTTGTGACCTCCTCACTCCTCTTTCCAGTGGCAGGATCAAGCACCTGGATCTGGTGACTCTGCTTCGTCGCATCCAGCCTCCCCTGGGCTTTGGCAAGCTGTGTCCTCACAGGGTGGCTTGTAAGGTACAAGAATATGCGAACACGTATGCATGCATTCATATATTCGCGCTGTGTCCTCGGTGGTGTTTGAGGTCTTCACATGCACGCAGACGCATACGTGCGTACAGATTCACATGCACTCTAGCACATACATGCATACAGATTCCCATACACAAGCAAATACGAGCATTGGAGTTGGCCACAAATGTTCACGTCATGTGAGCACAAGCACTCACGCTGACAACATTTTGGCATTGTACACTCATCGTAAATGCTCTACTTGTCTGTTATTAACATAACCACATTCTGTTTCAGAGACTGGTAGCCATGAACATGCCTCTCAACAGCGACGGCACTGTCATGTTCAATGCCACGCTCTTCGCTTTGGTCCGCACAGCTCTGAAGATCAAGACTGAGGGCACGGAAACTTCTCCTATCTATCTTCCTGTCTATCTGTAAATCTGTCTGTCTGTCAACCTACTTATCTATCTATTGTATTTACTCTTAGGTTTTTGTGCAAAATGCACAAAAACATTGGCTTATCATCTGCAAATTAAGCACTGTACTGAAGAATGAACATATGAACCACAGATTTACTATTCCACCTGTGCTGCAGTGGAATGTGGGAGAGCCTGCTAGTGATCTGCCACAGTACTGGCACCGTCATCTGACACAGAGGTTTGCTTGTACCTGGTAGGTCCCCTGGAACAGGCAAATGAGGAGCTCCGCAGTATCATTAAGAAGCTCTGGAAACGGACGAACATGAAGCTGCTGGACCAAGTGTGTCCCCCTGCAGGCGGTCAGTCATGCTGCCTCCCATACTGACCCCTAGACCTCAAAGGCTGATTCCACTGCTCTTTCTGTGCTTTTCTACTAACTGGGCTTCATCGTACATCTTCAATTTGCAACATTCTTGAATAGAAACCCTCCCACCTACCTATAAACGCATTATAGGTGCAAGCATGACCTCGCTCTGATAGATGATTAAAGGGATTTTGCTCAGCGCTCTTAGCTTTGTTAGCAGCCAAGAACCAGGACTGAGCGCTCCTGGCCCAGGAGCAACACCTTCGTATAAAAAAAGTATTGCAACACCTTCGTATAAAAAAAGGTGCACAATTACAGTGAAATATCAATTTATACCCAAAGACATTTCGCATTACTAACTTGTCTTGCAGAGAACCATTCTCCCATTCCAGAATAATAGATAATGTATTAGCTGTACAGACAGCAATAGTTGTGACGATGCACCTATAATTTCAGGACTAAGTCCGTATGTCTGACAGCTTGCATGGCCCTCAGCAGCACTGCATGTTCTCTCCACACTAAACCTTCTCTCTTTTCACTCGAGCTTTTCTGCAGCTTCTGCTCCTTGCACATAGTCTGGGGTCCTACCGAATATTCTGAAGCAATTCTGTTTTAGGGTGGTGGCATGGAACTGGTGTTGCCTCTCTCGCACCCCTTTCCCCAAAGAGTTTGCTGACTCGACACGGACCCTGCTTCAGAATGATTCCTCCGGGATCACGCCGCTTGCTTGCATGTGCCCTGTGAAGGGTAGAGGCAGAATTTAGTGGAACAGGCCCTGCTGATAGAGAAAATTGCTACATTGCTCAAAAGACCTGACTACTGTACAGTTAGTCATCCTTATGAAATCAGTGAGTTTGTTAGTTGTACTGCTGTTTGTCAGTAAGCAGTAGATTTAAAATGAAAAATGTATTGTACCTAATGGTAATGAAACCTTTAAAACGTATTAGCTACAACTTATTTGGGAAATTTAAAGACTAAAGATTCCCTGCCTCTCCAGCATCTCCCATTTCGGTTTTCCACTCCATCGCTAGTTCTGTTTTGGGTCCTTCAAGGGTTAAATTAGTCTTCTGTATTTTACTAAAGTCTTGTCCTGTCTTTTACCATGTTAAGTCCAGGTATAATCTCCACTTGATCAGTATACCCCAGAGACAAGAAATAGAAAAATAAGATTCATTGTTCATTGCTATCAACGTGTGATTGCTGATAATTTTTATACAAAAATAAGATGTATGATATCCTCATGTTTCCCTGGTGATATAGGTTACCTGAACTGATCCTCCTACAATCAACGAACCTACTCACCATTTTATTGTATAAAACCTGCAAAGCATAAGTAGGCACATCAGACTTTACAGGCAGTGGCTTCTCAAAGCTATATGGGATACAGGCTTTAACTGGGCTTGCTGTAAATTTTCTAGACTTTGATGGAATCCTTCCAATTCCACACCTGTGGTTACTTTAAAGTGTGTAACCTAGCCATCTCCCAGCTGCCTTGGGGGGCCCTGGCCCCTCATGAGGATTCTGTAGTCTTAGTGACAGTCGGCCGGGTCTGAGTCAACCTGAGGGTGACTGAGGGCCTCCATGCTGACAGTGGTCTGTTTGTTCAGATGATGAGGTGACCCTGGGGAAGTTCTATGCCACCTTCCTGATACAGGACTACTTTAGGAAATTCAAGAAACGCAAAGAGGGAGGCTTCCTGGGTGTTCACCCCACTGAGAACAGCACGGCCGTTGCCCTGCAGGTAAGCTTCATCCGCAGACCGTATCCTCTTTCTCCTCCATTTTTTATCTGTGCATCATTACCCATGGTGCACTTTTGTCCTCATCTACCCCTCCTTCTCCCAGTGTATCCTTCCCCCATTCAAGAGTGCTTGGTAGTGGCAGGTCTTGGTGGTGTGCGGGATCATTTGCTTTAGGCATCGAGGCCCTTAAAAGACGGTCAGCTCCCTGTTTACACTCTGTCATCCAAATGGAATTCCCTGGTATTATGCATGGAATGGAGTTCACAGTCAGTATCAGGGTCTGCTTCTGTAGCCATTACTCAACACTGATACCCTCAAGCCCAGAGAAAAGTGTTTATGAAAAATCATATGAGAAACAATGTGTTTATACCATATGTCCTGCAGGACAGTGTGCAAATAGAGTTCCAATAAAAGAGGAACTCAAGTATGATTTAAAAACAGTATATGTACTGTACAGGAGTATGTGTTCCAGACAGAAGTGAGGTTTTGACATCCTGGTGTGTTCATCGCTTGTGCTCAATATATGTGCTACTTTTCACTCCTTTCTGTAATTGGAGAAGAAAGCTGCAGCTTTCCTTGCATTTTTTACCCATGTGTGTGGATTTGTATAACATCCATATTCAGTCAGTGCTCCCAGTATCTCAGTGGATTCCAGGACAAATAAAGACCCACATTTTCCTCATGACCATTATGAAGCCATAACACCGTTTTTCACCCCCATTCAAACTAACCAGCCTCTTGTTTTGCTGCTAGTCTATACTCTGCATTCATAAACATTACTGGTGTTACTTGCACTTGCATATTTAGTTGCCACCTTTTGCAGTGCCTGCCCAGGTAGAATCAGTGGATATGGGTGTCTATAGCTGAAGAGTAGAAGATCAATATTTCACCCAGGATTTACTCCTAGTCTTAGTGTTCCTCAATTGAAGCATCTTCCGTTTTTAAAGATTAATAACTTTCAGTACCAGTCAAAAGTTTGGACACACCAAGCCACCTACAAAGGACAGTGATAATGTCACATCACATGACAAACACAACAGAAATTGCTTTGGATGAGTTTGACCAGAGAGTGAAGAACAAGCAGTCAGTGAATGCTCAGAAGATGTGTATGAAGTCCATCAGTACAGCTGGAAAAGCATCCCAGGAGGCCGCCTCACGAACCTGGCATAGTGGAGACCGTAGGGTCAGCCAGTCCCTGGAGCAAATTGTGGCTAAGGGTCATGTTGAAGGGCCCAATGGTGGGATCACTCTGCTGACCCAGGGATTTGAACCTTCTGAGTTCCAATCCACAGAGCTGCCCCCCCAAACAGATTGGTTTTTTAATTCTTTTTTGTTCAGTGCATAATTCCATATATACAATTGTAATGTTGATGTCATAATTATACTAAAATCGTACAAATAAAACTGTTGATAGTTGTATCCAAACTTTCAACTGGTACTGTACATAGTTGACTCAGACCTCCTACATGATCATTTTGAGATGATCAGCAGTATCTAATTTTAGGTCTGAACTGCAAGTCAAATTCCATTAGTTCCACAACACATTTGCATTCTTCTGCAGGTAGCTTGAGGCACAGTTTTATATTCATATAAGTAGCAGCGGCAGAGTTTTGTACACTGCAGAGAATCCACAGGGAATTTTATACACTCAGAGCCTCTCATTTAGAAACTGTCTGTCTTTCAGTGGCTTCTTTTCCCATGTCTCACTGTCTGCTAAGTGCAGTTCAGCCACAAGGCTCCTGAGTACAGTAGGGGACAGTTGTAACTCAAATGTCATTGGTTGACTTAGACTCTTTTTTTTTGGGGGGGGGGGGGGGGGGGGCCAGGAGGAGCTGGCCTGGACTGCATCGCCCTGCAGCTTCTCACCACCTGTTATCGTCGGTTGCAGGCCGGTCTTCGCACACTGCATGATATTGGGCCTGAAATTCGAAGAGCCATATCATGTGACCTACAAGATGAGGAGCTTGTAGACTTTATTCCTGAGGAAGACCAGGAGTTTTATAGGGTAATAATTTATGTTTATAACAATTTAAACAACAAGGTAACCCTTATAGGACAGCTCATTGTAATTGATTAGATCAATTTGCTATAAAGCTTTTATAGGGTAATTCTTCATATTTATAGCATAAAGATTGGTGAGAACATGCTTACTGGGAAAGCTACTCCATTTAAAGCAGTCTACCCAAAGGTTTTAGGAATAAAATATTTGGATGCAGGAGCAACACGATCTGAATGTACAGGAGTTAGCAGTAAACATAATGAAAGCAGGGCAGGAAGCCAAATAACACAACTGACTTTGCCCTGGTTTACCTATGATGTTACTCATTGTTATGTCAGGGGAACATTTTTAAATAAAAAAGCAGTGCAAGGAAGTTCATTTTGCATGTCATAAGCCATTTAATCTGCTTTTAAAAATATTTTTTGCTCATATAAACTTTAAAAAGTAAATGTTTTAATATGCAATTCACTGAAAATGTATGTCTACTTTTGATTTGCAATGCACAGTTTAATGTGACTTTTATTGACAGCAAAATGGGGGAATTTTCGGAAATCATGTCCATCACATGAATGGAGATGCCAGGAACCCCTCATATCAGACCAATGCCACACAGCGCCCCCTGCAGGTGCATCCCCCCCCACACTATGCTAACATGGAACAACCAGTTGGCCGGTTGGACAGGATGGGCCAGACCCTGGCTCAAAATGGCCATTCCTATCACAAGTCTACCAACATCAACCTCAACAATGCCAATGTGTCCAGTCTGCCTAATGGGAAACATATTGGTCCCTATGAGCATGCAAATGGCTACGCTGGAAACAAGGGACCCTACTACCCAGGCGACTATGACAAGCCCAAGAACTCCAGCATCCAAAGGTACCAAAGACCTACAAGCTTAAGTTATTACTTACATAATGGTAGTACACACTTTACTCACAATTATACAACAGGTTATTGGTTAGTGTCCCCTACTACCTCTCCTAACTGAAAGCCATCTGCTATCCAAACTGTAACTGTGCAAACTCCAGATTACTATTTCAGCCAATATACTATCCACCCATAACTAAATCCTGAATCTATGACTCTCACACTCTATTCTGTAACAGCACTGAGCTGCAGTCTATACACTATCATTTCTATACACTGATGACCATTCCCTGAAATATATGAATTCTGCATATGTCTGAGTTACTGAATAAATATATGTTATGTTAAACCTTCTTCTCTTTTTCCTTTCCATCTATACTTATCTGAATTGCTTTCCCCTGAACATTTCTCTGCTTTCTGGAATAGGACACGCTACTATGAGACCTATATTAGGTATGTCTGCTGCAGCATAAAGACGCTCCATCTACAACACAGGCAGACATAGATGCTAGAAGGGACCACTGTGAACTTGCTCCCTCATCACTAGAGCTTGGCAAACATATGTGTCTGTAGAACTTTGTGGCTTTCTGTTGACAGTTTTCCCTCTGCAAGTCAGTGTACATCTGATGTATGGCTAAGGCTGCTCACACTGCCCTTCTGGAGGTGCGATTTCCATTGGCATTGCACGTCCTCCTACACATGCCCATCACAGGGCCTGACTCCCTCTGTGCTGCCCTCCAGAGCCCATGCCGGGGATAGCTGTCAGCCGACAATTCGTAGAGGAGATGAAGGTGCTGAGGAAGAACGCTGTGGGGAGTACTGCAGTGGGGAGGAGCCTTATGAGGAGGACATTATGATCGCAGACAGGTAGAATCAGTTGGCCATTAAATATGCCCCCTTGGGTGGTATTGGGTCCAAAAATGTAAAACAAATGAGAACCTTTAATTATAGATGGCAGAAGACTTTGGTGGGGAAATATATAAAAAATAAAACTCCCATTCCTTTAGGAAATATGTGCACTTTTAGAAATGGGGAGTATACACTAATATTGTTTTATTGACATATTCGCAGGAAGGGATATAAGGAGTACCTTGACAAGGTTAATAACCTAGAACAGGACTATGATGTGCCCAAAGGGTATTATCGTCATGTGCGTCAGTATGATGATGATGAGCAGTCGGTTTACCATGACTCCAAAAGGTCCCCGAAGAGACGGCTTCTTCCTCCCACACCGCAAGGTGAGCACTGTAGTCTTTGTCCCTCTTTCAAAAGCTTATCCTGATCAAGGTCACGGGGGCCTGGACCCTTCCCAAGCAGCTTAGGACACAAGGCTGGGGTACACCCTGGATGGGGGACCAGTCTAACACTAGGCAGCTTTCAGAAATTTGGTACTTTGTGACTATTTATTCAATAGAAGTGCTTCTATTTTTTTCCACAGTGGACTTCATTAGTATTTTAGTACTTTCATTACTTCATTAACTGATTATAATTTGCCTCTGGTGCACCAAAACATTTGAAAATCATTTGCAAATTAATAAAGAATAGCTTTAAGGGCCCAGGGTTGGATGAAGCAAATTACTTGAATTTTGAAGTGATTATGAGAGGCAAAGACAGAATGCATCATTCCAAGGTCAGCGCATTGTCAGAGGACCTTAGAAGAACATCTGCTGATGCCCATCTAGAAACAGATAGTCTCCATTTGCAAATGTTCTTTAGTACAGTAGAATGATGGATTTGCAAATCTTTTTCAATGGTTTTCTAACAGATATGGGGCAATTTATCAATCTAACAGGCTCTGCCATCAGTTTTATCCCTAGCACTGGAGGTTGCTCTAAGATCTCTCCAAGAATGGGTTCTTTATGCCTGCCTGTCATATTAGTGAGATGCCAATAAAATCACCCTTTTCCTTTTTCTTGCTTTTGTCCAAGAAATGTTTACACACTCTGGTTTCTGGTTCCTGTGTGTTGCTTCACACCTCCAATGTCATCGATCCCAATTCTCCACTTTTGCATGTTCTCTCTGGCTCATGTGGACTTATTTTAGGTACTCTGGTTTGCTCCAACATGCAAACATGTATGATGACATTGCACTGGCATCCCATCTGAGCTGTACCCCTGCTATGTGGAGGATAGTGCTGCCTGGGGATAGGCTACAGCCCCCCCCCCAACCCAGCACTGGACTAGCTAACCATGTAGTGTACAAGATAGTATGGATGTGTATTTCCCTCTCAAACACTTTTCAGTTATTTTAGCTTTAAATGGTGGTTCCTGCTGCTCACCCATTGCATCACCTTGCGCTCCATCACCATACCTGTAGCTGTTGAAAGTCAATATTTTAGGTCCTTTCGCATGTTGTATGCTGGAAATGAATGTATTAAGCTCCGGCATGTGTCTAAAGCAAAGCTGGGTGATGACTGTGACATGATCCTTGAATGTACATCAAATACTCAGTATGATGAGCATCCCACTCAGTCAGATGACCTAAGGAACCATGTTTCATATTTCCTCAAAACTGCATTTGTAAAAATGCTCCATAAATGGTTGAATTTGTTATTGTGAAAGCAAGTTGTTACTGGGAGCTGGAAGTGCACTACTTCAAGAGGTTTCATAGCCTACTCAATAGTACTTTGGTATCCTTGTACTTCAAAGGTCATAACTTCTGTCTGATACTCACTTTGCCCTGTATTTTCTCTTGCTTTTGGAGTCCACATCCCTTTATGTCTGCCATATTATATATTTAATTGTTCTTCCTGTGGATGTGTTCAGGCCACAGAAGGCCGTCCTTCAATTTTGAGTGCCTGCGTAGACAGGGCAGCCAGGATGAAATCCCCCATTCCCCCGGCTTACGTCAGCGCACAGCACTGCCTCTTCATCTGATGCAACACCAGGTAGGTGTGCCATTCTTATAATGCTTCCGAACAGCATCGCTATTCACATGTAAACGTCGTGTCCATTTTCTTTCTCGCCTGTTTGGTACCAGGTCATGGCTGTCGCTGGTCTGGACTCTAGCAGAGCCCAGATACTCTCCCCAACCCGCTCCACACGGTCCTGGGCTACACCTCCAACCACACCTCTTAGCAAGGACCTCTCTCCTTACTATACACCCCTGATCCGTGTAGAGCGGGCTGGGCTGGAGAATGGCCATGTGCGCAATAGCTCCTGGTACGCAGACGACCCGGATTACCAGTACAGGACGTATACACCAGCACATCTGCAGCTCCCCCATGAGTACAGAAACCAGTACTACCAGAAGAGAGGAAGCGCCACAAGCCTTGTAGAAGCAGTGAGTCAAGCCAAGGGCACCAGTTTCCTGGCCTATACCATTCCACTAGACACCTGCCAGGGTACGGGGCCTTATACACAGTAAAGGTAGCAAGGTTAGTAACACTGGTTTTCATTTTCTTCCCCGAAGGTATTGATATCTGAGGGACTGGGGAGGTATGCCAGGGACCCGAAATTTGTCGCCACAACGAAGCACGAAATAGCAGATGCTTGTGAGATGACTATTGATGAAATGGAGAGTGCCGCCAGCCACCTGCTGAATGGTGGCAGGGACGTGTTCCCCATCCGGGGCCGGAGAGACTTTGAGGTTCTGGATGTCTCTGCCAGCTACAGCGATGAGGAGCTGGAGCAAGATCTCGCTGGGAAGTATGAGGAAGACTTAGCTGATGAAATGATATGCATTACGAGTTTGTAGCATTGGGTCCACTTGTAAAGAACAAAACACAGAGACTCTGAATCTCTTGGCTCACTAACAAAAGAAGTGCCTTTTTTCTAGTGGAGTACAAAAGGCACTTGGAGGTGACGGGGCTAACAGGAGCAGCACTCTGCTGCTCTTCCAGAACCCGTCTCAATCCCCAAGGAAGCAGATGTGGGCTCGGCGGAGCATCTTTAGGCAATGCCTCCCCGACACACTATGTGGAAGCATGATATCAGGAACAGCTTTCATCCTAGAGAAAGACAGGCATATCTCACATGTGGATGTGAACTGAATACTCCAGTTACTTTCAGAATTAAATTGTGGCTAATGTGAAAAATGACTATATGCTCGTTTACAGATGTATCACTGTCTGCTTATTATCACTTTCCAGATAAGGTGGCTAAGATGTCTGCAGTTACAAAGATTCCCATTGGAAAAAAAATGATTAAGCAATTATGCACTACAGACAGTTCTTTTGGAATATTAAAAGAGCCAGTTTAATATTTCCTAGTTGATATATTGTAAATGTATTGTAATATATTACATCAGAAAACTTTGTAAAGAGATGTTCTATATTTTGTAATTATGTATCTTACATAAGAACAGCAATACGGTTCTTAATATATTACAAACATAGATTGATGTTATTTTATGAGCTACTGTACAATAATGTTTATCTACCTTTTCTTTTGAGCTCCACTATATTCTCGATCTGCTCGCAACCTTTTATAAGATGTTGTGTCGAGGTGAACATGCATTCGCACGAGATATGCAAAATTATTATGTCGATAGACCTGAACAGTCGAACTTCTTGTCGTGTCTTAAATACCCACTGAAGGAGTTTGAGAACTACGTTCGCTCCCCGCACCCCCGCCACACCACTCAAAATGCACTCAGGTGTGTGTGTTAATTCGCCGCTGTGTTTGATTTTTACAGGTCTCCTTGTAAGCAAAAGGGACCGGCTTTTGTTTAACTTGTGTTAACCTGTGTGCATGGGTACATCTGGATGTTAAATTCTTCTATTGTGACTGACAATGCTGCTTTCTGAGGATGAAGGAACTGTGCCCCTGTCATTCACACACTAACAAAACATGTCGCAGATCACGTTCCTGGGTTTGATATGCGCTTATTACCCGAAGGAAAATTTATTAATTGTGTTACCGGCCACATCAATTCCGAGCGACTTATCTCGTTCTTCAATCACGACACGTTCTAAATGATCGTTTTCATTTAATCGGAAACAAAAACTGTATTTCCAGGTCTGTTAAAGTCGACTCATTTCCCCCCTTTCTGGTGTTAACTTTTTAATCGTTTGCATTTTATAATATAGTTATTAAAAGCATCTAGACTAAGTGCACGCTCAGAAATTCTGTGAAGCTGATCGGTGGTGACGCAGCTACAACACGGGGCAGGAAGTTGGAGAGTTAAAGCAATATTACCCCCCACTCTTTCCATACGAAGTCTTATACATATACCTCCAGAAGAGCAGGGTAACATATCAGTGATTTAAACCTTTCAACATTGAAGGTGTTCCAAACTTTAGCCTCCCTTTCTTGCACTGCAAAAAAGGGATGAAACAATCACTTTAAATCGTCTTTTAAAAGAACAACACTTACCAGCATGCAAACTTGGCCGAGCACAGTGCGGGCAGTTCTACTCTCCATGAGGAAGTGTGCGGTCTGGGGCGGGGGGAGGGAAGCGGGGTATAACTGGTCCACCCAACCCGACTGGGGTCCTCCAGGAGGTGCACGCTGAAAGGGCTCTGACTCGTCTGTGAGAAACGTGTACTGGTGTCTCGGATATCTAAGATGACCCCTCACGGCCAGGCACATTGTACTGTAACGTAGCAATTACAGAGGAACTAGAAATATGCATTTTTTAAACACTTGTGTAAATGGTGTTAAAACTAAAGACTAAAACCAAGTTACTTTACCTCATGTCAGGGATTCCTGAATAAAAATGGTATTTAAATATTAGCACATAGCTGTATGTCTTTGCACAAGTAATTGTTAAGTGATATTGTTTCATTTTCTATGAATTTCAGATCTATATGTAATAGGGTGAGGCGATTTTGTACTTTTCCTGTGGCTGTGTGTATGGTTTAGTGGAATCTATATTTGTCATACTTGTCACTTTAAAATGCTGGGATATATGGTAGAATATTAAGCGGCACTGGTCTTTTTCCTTGTGATAAAACCAGTTTGCGGCTCAATGATATTTAATATTTAAGTTTACAGAGAATTATATGTTAATTTAAACACTTTAATCAGTTTAATATTACTAGAATAGTTGACAAGATGTATTTAAATATACAATGAAAAGTATATAAAGTATGGAAAGAACTGTTCTTATTTATTTTACTTGAAATATTTGCTCTTTAAGGTTTTTATTCTGCAAACCTCCGTAGCAGCTTAGTATCCTCTAGATTTTGTATGCATTTCTTTTTGTATTTTTTCATTTAATTTTGGCCTTTAACTGATTTGAATCAATACCTAAATTTTATTTCCTAATGATTACTATTGAATAAACTTACACTAAAGTTCAAAGTGATATTTAATCTGTGATTTATTCATGAACATGAAGGGAGGTCATCAAGAATATAAGCATCATGTAAAAGGTGATGAAGCAGACAATGGCCACGCTTCTTCCAGGTGGCCTCTCCTTGCCGGCTCTGCCAATTAACCCAAATAATATATAGCAAGAGATCTGTACATTATATGAGTGTGTCTTGAATTTGCACATGGACCTGTGTCAAGAAATGCTACTATCTTCCATGAAAATAACAAATATAGTTTGTTGGGCTGTGTCATGATACATTGTGGGATTCCAGTTATGAGGAGTGACATCACTTGAAAGCTTGAAAATTTTTCAGTGGAGGGTCCTGTCAAGAGCAAGATGAGTGATTCCCCAATGCAGCATAAAATGTTTAACCGTCGCCATCTCCCCAGCTGCCAATCGACAACTTTTACCAACAACTTTGGGTGTGGAGTTCTGAACCATATATGGCAGAACTGTGACTTGGATCCGTCTTGAAATGAGTGGTCCAAAGACATGATGCTCAAGTGCATTCACCAAGTTGACCTTCATACATTCTCCAACCTGGAGGTGGTTAATTTCAAAATATTCAAAATCTCAAAAATGTCTACCTACCTGTGTTGGTTGTTTATGTTGGCCGTTATCACTGTTCGCTCTTCTCCTTGCCCTTGTAATCAATAATCATGCCCAGAAGGCCAGCATTTCAGTGGGTATGTTTATGGTTGAGTGGATATACAGTAGAGGTATATGGAATGTTTCAGCTGGTATATACAGTTAGTAGTCAAGTAGTGAATCATATGGCTACAACAGAATACAGCAAAAGCTCTCGTATCCAGCAACTTTGGGACTTAAGCACTGATGCATAGTTGAATTTTCTAGATTGTTTCTAGAATTTTCTTGATAGTTTGTTGAAAACAATACTCAGTTACTACTGAAGAATAAATCATGAACAAATATGGTAGCTACTTGAGATAAAAGATCATCATGATTCACTAATGATGAACAAAGATGAGATTAGTATTTCACTTGTTATTCATGACTTCAGCAGTTCCTTAGTAGTTCTTTCAGTAGTTCACAAAAAATTACCGGATGAACAGATTTAGGAACAAATATAGTAGCTGCTTGAGATAAAAAATATGTCACGATTCATTAATGATGAATAAACATGAGGTCAGTATTTCACATGTTATTCATTTTTTGCTCCTTCAGTAGTTCACAAAGGTTTGCAGGATTAACAGGTATAGTAACAAATATAGTAGTTTCCCCGATAAAAAAATGTCATGATTTATTAATGATGAGCGAACATGAGATCAGTATGTAACTAAGACTTAGTTTGTGGTTAACTAATACATAAGTAAGAGCATAATACGACATTATTTGTGCCCCTTCAAGTAAAATGTTACCTTGAAGGGTAACATGTCTTGTACTTTAATTCTTTTATATGCACACATTAAAGATTCATGTATTTTTATTGTAAATCAGATAGTTGTTAGAACGCAAGATATCACAAGGTAAATAACGGAACAAGTAAGACTACTACTTGTTATTTTTGTATTTTTAGTTTAGTGGAATTTTTATTTTTATACTGATATTTGTGCCAGTTACTTGAGAGTACAGAATACTTTAATGCTGGATAGGGCCCTTACTTTACATATACTGTACCATGCAGTCAGGGTCAAGATTTAAGACTTTGACTTAACATTAGAATGTGTAAGATCGAAGTTGAAGCAATTTTGAAGATGGTACTGGGCTGGACTAGACATATAACATTCTAGGTATTTTCCTGGTGGGCATATGGGCTTGTGGACTGGAAAAATTATCATGGGGGACACTGAAGTCCAGACCTAACATTTGTTCTCAGCCCTGTTGTCCAGCCCTGACATACTGTGAGTGTTGATGCCAGAAATGTTGGTTCCACTAGAGTCTATAGAGCATGGTGTGATGGACAAAAGGAGGAGTTAGAGTCACCAAATGTCAGAGGAGAATGTCCAGACTCACTAAAGCTAATAGGAAGAAGTGTAAAAAGAACAGCTCAGTACAAGTCATGGCAGAATAGCTTCACTGAACACATACTTTGTCTACCCATGAAACTGTCCTGCAGGCGAAAGTGGATTATCTCGGTACTAAATATGTTTACAAAATACAATGGACACGGTATATTTTTGAATATATATTCATGTAGTACTTGAATGACCACACTAATGTGCATTTACACACCCATATTTTCTTGCAGAAAGTCCATTATGTGCATTTCTTCAGGATATAATGACTGCGTTTTGAACGTTTATGTTTATATAAATGGGAGTCAAGTTTATAGAAAAATTCAAGCAAAGCCCATCAGCAGTACATCTTGAGTTTATGTCTGCTTTCTGTGACACACAAGATCTGTCATTTCCTTGCACGCAATGGTGTAATACTGTACCACTGTATCCAAAAACAATACAGTTTTAAACATATAAATCCATAGTTAACATAACTGAACAATACTTTGGTTAAGATTAGGCAAATATATAAATGTCATTTCAAATATATTTATTATAATGTATCAATATTTTGCTGCTTAATTGTGATACAGGCCATGGTATGAAGTACTGGTATTTGACCACTAGATGGCAGCTGAAAGGCTGCAGAATTGCTGTGATGTCTCATACTGTATATGAGGTACTCTTATTTGACCACTAGATGTCAGCTGATTTTTGCACCTGAAAGGCTAGAACAGATGTGACGTTTAATATTTCTATAGCTGATATGCTGCTTTGAGTGAGATCGTGTGAATTTTAGCCATTAAGTGCAAATATCTGCTAAAACGGTCTCCTCCTAATGCGTTACACTGGGTTTTGTCTGTTTGTATGATTACAAATACTTTTACACTTAATGCTTTTGCAATTACCTGCATATAATATTTTATATAGTATAATATTATTTGTCTACTGGAAACTGTATGGTGTGAAAAAGCTTTTGTGATTTTTTATAGGTGGACATGTGCACTGAGATCACGATGCAATTTGAGTACAGGGGAAATTAAATTTTAAACATACCTTCAGTGAAAAGAGAAACAGAGACTACTACTCTGTCCTGCAGTGAAGAAATTAATTACACAATTTCACAATGTTCTAGAATTTTAGTCAACCTTTAGTTTAGTACAGGACTGAAAAATGTCTCTGTTATTCCGGCATGTAAACTGAAGGTCACTCGGTGCTGGATTTAAAACCAGCCTCAGAATGTCCGTTTCCCTCTGTCCTCCTGGTCACGACAGTCCAGTCATACGATTTGAGAAGCTCAGGTACAGCTCTTTATTTCACTTGGGCAGTTGTGGTGCTCAGTAATATTCACAAGAACATGTGATATGTCAGACTGCAGTAGTAGAGCAGATGTAAGTTCAGTTATTGTGTTGGAACTTTTAATGTGAAGACTTTCCTGGAAACCGCTTTGAACTCCATAATTTGAGAACCTTTAAAGAGCCCAAATTCATAAGGACAAGGAGATAAGGCTCACATTTTTCAGGAGACATTGAAATGCTTGTGTGTAAATAATGTGATTTCATCGCATATTTAATGCTGTGGTGTTTCTCTGGAATGCTGCCTGACTGAAGTTTGAGTTTGTTTATAGGACTTAATATGTATACTGCAGGAGAACAGAAAAATCCATAATTTGCACCACTTGACTGAATGGTATTGCATCCTAATGAAATAAAAATATTTTTAAAAAAATCACAGTATTTTTTTTGCATTATCAATCATTAAAAAGGACTAAATTACCTTAGAAGACATATAGCAATCAGATCTACCTAAAACAAAGACAAAGTCAGAATTACAGATGACATCATGATTCACTGCTGTTACAGACCAGAATTCTTTGATCTCTACTCCATTCTACTACTTTCAGGTCCGGATTATACTGGATTAGCCATTACTCTCCATTGTTATGCCTAGGATCCAGATTTCTGTACTCTAATCTCATACCCAGACCGCAACAATCAAGCTCAATTTCAGTATTCAAACTACTACAACAGAGCACTGACCTCACATCCACACATTACAGGGTAAACAGTGCATGCTTCTGCTTGCACAGGGACCTAGATAGGCAATGAGGAGAAGCAGATGGAAGTGGGAACAGATGAGGTTCAGTTACTGAGACAACAGGGACATCTGGAAAACAGTGGAGTGTATCCACAATCTGAAAGCCATAG